CAGGGCTGTGAAAAAATTTCACACCCAGAGCACTATAGTTAGGTCAACCTAACCCCTGGTGGGGATGCAGTTAGGTCAACAGAAGGATTATTCCATCAACCTAGCTACTGCTTCTCAGAGAGACTGATTACCTACATTAATGGAAAAACCCTTCCTTTGATGTAAGAAGTGTCTAAATTCCTTGAGTTTAGCAAGTAGGTCTCACAGTAAAAAGGCTGGCTATGCTACAAAGTTCTGCCAGCACAGCTAGGTTGGCTAGGAACGCGAAAAACTCCCCCCTCCTCCCCGCGGAGACATAGCTATGCTGGCAGAACTCTTAGAGTAGATGCAACCAAGCCAACGGAAGAGTACTTCTGTCAGTATAGCTAATATCTTTCAGGGAGGTAGTGTAGCTATGCCAAGGAGTTCTTCTGCTCTATCAGCATACGCAGCATATGTATCTACACTACGGGGTTATGCTGACATAAGTATGCTGGCATAGGCTCTGTAGTGTAGACATGGCCAAAGAAAGCTATCTTGCATCTGCTAGGATAGCTTTACTGTTGAAAACTTGTATTGGTGATATATCTCCTTTTGCAGTCATGTAAAGACAACAAGGCACCTTCCAGCATTGGTGCTGGAACCAGAGATGCTAGAGGTGCTGCCACACCCCCTAGCTGGAAGTGTTTCCATCATATACAGAGTTTACAGCTTGGTTCAATGACTCTCTGTATCCTCACTATACAAATTGTTCCAGCACCCCTCCTTCAGAGACAGCAAGAGAAACAGAAACATTGAGAAAATGGCCCCTGTACTCGCTGAAATTCGTATCACGAGGTTGGGGAGGCATAAGGGGGAAGATGTGTAACAAACTGTACAGCTCACTTTCCGTCACTAGTGGAAGTTCCAGTAGACCCCATAAGAATCCTTCAGTGGCCTCTATTAGTTTCTACTGGTCTCTGTTGGTTTCATTTGAAGAACCATTACTAGGAAACAGCAGACCAATAAACCTGTTGCTCTGTTCTGAGCTGGAGCCAGCTGACATTTTTCTACTGGCATTTCTACCATGGAATAGGAAGGCTTTTCTTACAGGTATTTATCTACATTAACAGCTGCGTTATTGCTTTGTTTGTCCTATAGAATACAGTGAATATCCTTAAGACTCTCTTTGTGCTACCACTGAGGTCTTTATTATAGGACAGCCTAGGTCTTCTAAAGTCTTTTGTGTAAGCCTCAATCTATCATTTTCTTCTTTCTTGGTGCCACTCCTAGGGATTTAGGTATGAGTTCTGGATATTGGCTAATGTACCTTTAAAGCCTCACTGACTTAAATCAGCAACCAGCTTGCTCTCCTCCTCAACTCTTTGGTAACTAGCTACCAATAGCTGTCAGCCAAGCCAGCCTGCATGTTTTATGAGGAAAAGCAGGAAGAAGCAGATGCAGCATGGAAAGGAGATCTGAGAACAGCATTCTATTATGGGCGGTGTCCAAAGCAAAAGTCTTGTACATAACACTCACACCAGAGCTTGTCTCTGGCATATTCTGGGGCAATTGCAAGAGAAGCATCTGTAACCATTTGACCAATACGACCTGATCAGATCATAGCCAACATAATGAGCGTCTGAAAGATGTGGCATTGAGACATTCCAGGAATAGTATGTTTTGTTGCTAATAAAAAGTGAGGTCTGGTGTTTGCAGCTGCTAAATTTAGCTTCTGTAGGTTAAGCCAGATTTGAGTATTGTTACAAAAGGAATATGCTAGTAATGATGTTTCAGCTATATCATCCATGCAACCTGGAGATTCCAGAAGAAACCTCATGTTTAAATTGGCCACACCTAGGCTGACATTCTCCCCAATGCAGAAGGCCAGCACAAGGCCCCAGTGTTTAAGGCTGAAATGAGTCTCAAGTTCTTGAAAACCCTGAGGACTTAAATGAGTCCATAGGCCTTCTGAAATTTCACTCTGTTTAGATTACAGGTGCTTTGAATATGGCAAGGACCTTTACATTTAATTTACTTGTCACTATGGACAGACTCAAGTAGATGGAGTGAAATCAAATGGCTCCCAAAAGGGGTCTAGAGACTTCTGTGGAAACCATTAACTTACCAAGAATTTCCTGTATCTATGCTTAAAATATAGCATCCATGACTCAGGATTTTAAAGCAGATAAATGAATAGGGAGATCCCCAGTCCTTTGAGGAGAAATGGGAAACTGACTGGCCTGACCACATTTTCCCATAAGTGTCGCAGTAGCAGTCAATCAAGGAAGGGTTTATTGTAGGAAGAGCCATTCTGAAAGCTAGAGTGTCACATTGTGGCTGGTTCCTTTAATGGTGTTGCTAATATTTGTCCTGTTTTTACAAACTTAACATAGGAAGAGGTCCGTTTTAACAATACAATTGTGATATTTTGGGGCAGAATTTCTTTTTCATTTCTGAATACTTCATTTTTTCTGTCATCTCACTGTACTTATCAAAGTGCCAGGCACCAATTCCCTGCCACTTGATAAAGCCTGCGTCATATGAGGGTCTATGCTAGCAGCTCTGCTTGTGGCTAGCACAGTACTCTTGTATATACTCCCTTAACTGGCCATGAGCCTAGCCAGCAAGTGCTCCTGTGTCTGGCTCACACTTTCCCAGGTCCCCTCCCATATTCACATGTGGGGAGAGAGGAACTGTGTGGAGAGCATGAACGGGGAGAACCCGCCTCACGCCCGTAGTTGTTTTATGCTAGCAGCAGGCAAGGCTGTAATCACACACCTCTTGTAATTTTGGAGTTTGATTCTGCATTCCTTGTGCACACCAAACTCTCACTTAAGCCAATATAAACTTGGGGTATATGAGGTACACAGGACTGGGGCCTATCATGAATTTAAAATATTTTTGCAAACACAAGAGTTAAAGTGCAGTAGCTAAGTATAAGCCAAACAGTTTGTGTACTACAATATGGAAGACAAATGCAAAATTTAGCTCTCTCTGCATTCCAGTAATATCAGTTTTGCATTAAAATAACAAGTACCAAATTGCTGTGCTTTCTAATTAACTAGAGAGAAGATAAACTGTCAAAACTAAGAACACGATATATCTCAGTCCATGATAAAGAGTCTTTTAAACTATAATATATTGAAACAGTCCTACACATTGAACTACACTGAATATTTGATATTCAGAAGAAACATAGGAGATGCTAAAGTGCCCTTAGCTCAGTAAATTAATAAAATATTAGTCTATGGGTGAACTTCAAAAGCTTTGGAGGTTCCACTTCAGATAAGCAGCCAAAATACTGCTGTGAAATATCCTGCTAACCTGCTATGAAACATTCAACTAAACATCCAAGTCAGTCAAATAAGGCTTGAAATGTTGTGTGACCAATCTGTATGGTTAGAGATCTGTCTTTCCACCTGCACTTCTAAAATGCCCATGTTGATCCAGTGATTCCTTCTTCTGAAAGATGGATCTAGGACCAGAGATTTGACAGGGTCTGAGGTAGCAGGGAGTGAATGAGGAATTGAGGGCTAAATACAACCTTTGTGTTAGTTGATGCACCTTCATTAGCCCCCAGTGAGTTGCGTTCACTTATGCCATGGCTGAATTTGGCCAAGAGTCTATCTGGAGAGGAAGACAAGAAGCCCATTGTAGGGAAGTGGGACTGGAGGGAGAAGAGTCTATTTGGGCAATGGTGGGGAGAAGGATCAAGAAGTCTGCAGGGAGGGAATCTGAAAAGGCAAAATCTGTTTGGAAAGAGGATGTTTTACAGGGAACCTGGAATTTGGTGGATCTGGACCCATTTAGTCTTAAATCAGCCCATCGGCTTCTAGTTGGGACAAAAACACCACAAGGACAGGCTCTCCAGTAATACTTTGTCTCTCCCTCCTTCCTAGTTTCTTCTGTTTTCCTCAGACTTGTTTGCTCTAAACATGTTGAACTGCATCGGAAACTAAAATATGGGCTATTGGTTGGGGGCTAAACTTCATTAACTCAAAAAGTTGAGATGCTCCATCTAATTTCTGCATTATAGTGCAGAACGAGAGTGGAGACATCCTTAGATAAACACTATTTAGGAAGCTTTTGGCCGCTGCATTGTGTTTCTGAGCTCCCTGACTTGTGGACATGCAGAAGGTGTGGATGGGGCACAGGCACAGCATGCAAATCTCAAATTGATCTGAGCTGCCAAGGAAGATCTTCTTGATCTCGGGCAGCATCCAAGATCCTCCCTTTATTCTCTTCATGCTGCTTCAGCTCCCCTCAGCCAAGCAGCAATGGTAGCACAGCTCACCAAGGTGCCATGCAGCCACTGGCTGAGAGCAGGGCCAGCACTTCCACTAGGTGACCCTAAGCAGTCGCCTAGGGCGGCAGGATTTGGGGGACGGCATTTTGCCGCCCTCGGCAGAAATTCGGCAGCGGGGGGTCCTTCCGCTCTGGATCTTCGGCGGAAATTCGGTGGCGGGTCCTTCACTTGCTCTGGAACCCGCCGCTTAAGTGCCCTGAAGACGCGGAATGGAAGGACCCCTGCTGCCAAATGCTCAGAGAAGGAGTACTGCTGCCTAGGGTGGCAAAAACCCTGGCGCCACTCCTGGCTGAGAGCCACAGAAGAAGAGTTTCTGCTGTTCAGGGCAGCGCTATTTTAATGTGCTTTTAGTATCTTAAGTTAGTGCCCTGAGAGAGGACTGTGCCATGTTAAACAGCTGTTCCACTGAATCCACTGGCCTTCACCTTCGCAGCCACAGAGTTCTCAGCTGGATAAGGGAAAGGATTACAAGAAAGCAATAACATATTGCAGTCCTGCCTTGAGTGCAGGGGACTAGACTAGATGATCTCTTGAGGTCCCTTCCAGTTCTATGATTCTAAGATGCCAGGACTTGGGACTTCTGGTCCAGTCCCCTTCCTGTGCAAAACAAGGAGATGATCTTAAACCACAGATAATTATCAAATCCCACATCAGGGACTGGTAATGGAATACAGAGCCTTTCATTTCAGTTCAACTCCAGCCATTACTATCTGATGGTTATTTGGTGACTTACATGACATCAGTTGTTGATCTCAGTGCAGTTCCTCGTAAAAGAATGTCTGCATCACAGCAATCATCCCAACAGCTCAAAACCCAGCACTCTTCTCATATTCAACAGAGAGAGAGCAAGGATTAAATGGTGGAGGCCAATGTACCCTTTCATCCTGGCAAATATTCCCTTCGTGCCAGGGTCGAAGCACAGTAGAGGAAGAGTGTGGAGAAGCTTCTATTGGGTGTTTTACCATTCTGTAGCAAAGAGATTCTGCAGCACAGTTAATGAGTAATAGTTGGCGGGGTGGGGGAGTTGTTTTTTTAAATCCCAGTTCATCAGTAATAGACAGATGGAATCCTTGCATTTCAGGTCAATTTAACACTCCCAGCATTCAAAGGTCCAAGTTGATGTTGCAGAATTTAATGAGCATCAGTAACAATGTCTCAGCATTATTGAACTAATTACTAGTTTCCCAAAAGAAAAGAAAAAAGAAAATTCTCTGAACAGATAAAACTTTAATTAAGATATTACTTGTTATGGAACAAATGCCACTACAAAGCAGAAAATAGCCTCTAGGTGGAGAATAGATCTAATGAAAGGTACAGTAGTGAATTTTAGTATTAACTTGCTTCACATATACGACTTTAAGCCTTTAGAATAATCAGACTTCACTGCAACAGCCAACACTCTAATCCTCATGATACAAAGTTTCTGTTTTTACAGAGTAGACAATTTAGGAGGTTCACGCCCCTGCATTGTTCTGTAGCAGGTGGATACGGTAATACAGTCTGCTGCAATATGCGTTTTCACTTCAGGATTGTGCACAGTGAGCAGTTCTGACAGCAAGCTACAGCTTTACAGTTAAAATGATTATAAATTTGGTTGGCTTCTTAGCTGCAAGAATCAGATGTACCCTTGTCAGAAAAAAATGAAAGGGGAAGATTCTGTTCTGTGTTACAGGATGAAACTCTACTGAAACCAATGTAATTTCTTCATGGTTAAACCTGTGTGATTAATGGAAGAATTCATCCCCAAATAAATGAACTAAATGTAAAACTCATATCTGCAAATTAGCTCTCTCTCAAACACACATACATACACACACGGACAGAGACATATAAGAAGCTCCTTAACCTTCAAAACTATTTTTCCTATAAGCTGAGAAGGAAGAGATGTATTGCTATTTCTATTTTTACATGCCTGGAAACCTTTCAATTACTACAGTGATGAGGGGACCAGGTAAATTCCTACATAAACTGGATTAGAAAACAATGAGCTCTGAGCATGCTTCCCCATCCTGCATATGCAGACACCTTCATTAAACTATTCAGCTCTGTCTACGTTAAGAAAATTCATATTGGTGTAACTACACTGATAGTCACACCAGTGCAAAGCCCTAATGCTGATGTGCTGCAGCAGCACCAAGCAGAGTTTACACCAGTGCCGTTTAATCTGGTATCACACTGAAGTAAATGGCACTGGTGTAAGCCAACTGAGAGATAGTAAACACATCTACATTATGCGTTTGCACTGGTGTAACCACATCAATGTAGGAAGATTTGGGTGAATCTCCTTAATGTAGGCAGGGCCGTAGCAAGCTAAACTTGGTGTTAATGCACACCCTACTCAATCTCGCTGAAGTCAGTGGGTCAAATCCTGTACTCGCCTATTCACCACATGCTGGGCATAGGCGTGGGTAAAGGTCAGCCCCATAAGATTGCTTGGGGCATAAATCAGCTGTGAATCTGGCCTGTCATACACTTGCTACTTGAAGGAAGGAACCCTTAAAGTCATGAGTCATAGCCAATAAAATATAATTAACATAAAGATGGGGGCTGGAGGAAGCTACTGCCTCACCTCTTGAATAGCTTTCCAATGCACCTCTTTCCAATTAAAGTAGTTTGCTCTGGGAACAAAAGAGAAAGCATTCTGCTGCAGTGCAGAAACACAGGGGCCTTCATGAATCAGTGCTACCCAGAATGCTGCTAAGTCTCAACCATGGCTATCAGATGAACTCCAACTAAGAAGCTGTAATTGGGAGCCTGTAGCAGCAAACTCTCCAGGGCATATTCACAGCCTAAATTGAAAACGGTTTCTGGGGGGAAGAGGTTCAGGCTGAAATAGCCATTGGGCAATAAGGGTGTTGTTGCAAGAGGAGCCTGTAGACGTCATGTCACAAAAAAGGGTGATGTAGACTAGGCAGGGATGTGGTCAGTAGGGTGGTGTTTCAGTGCATTCCCTCAACAGCCTCTCTCAGTGAGAAGCTGGGCCAGAAACTACAGTTGCTCTCATAATGGAAAACCCTGAGGGTGGTGGCACCAACACTGCCTGCCCTCTTTTGGGGTGAATCACCCATGCAGAGCAGGGAGACAAGCTGGTACAAGGAATAGCAGTGCACACCTCTTTGCACTGGTTTTATTGTACCTGCCTCTCCACGGGTGTCTGTCTTCAAAGGCAACCCATGCTACTTCCCAACTGTAAGCACAGATTATGAGTTCAGAAACTCCCGCAGACCAGATTTAGCAATTTAACTGATCAGAATCCAGGTAATTACAGCCTAACATAAAAGTTCAGTTAGCAGCCCCTTCTCCTTCCCCATTTCAATATAAAAAAGAAACAACGTTAAAAAAAAGATATAACAAGCTGGTACGTTTAGCACACAGAGGACTTCCATGCTTCCTTGAGAGACCCAGTGCAGGGACAGCCCTGGCCTCACAGCATCCAGCTGATGCAATCTTAACACATTCCCCAGAAGAAATATCCTTCTCTTGATCAACAAAAAATAATCTTGGCATCACTGCATGAGCAGCCATTCAACAGCACCTTCAGCTAATGGGAAGCAAACAGCAAGACAGGCAAACCTATACAACAGGACAGATAAAAGGCAAGAAGCTATGTAGGGATATTAAAGAAGGTACTAACAGTGATTCCCCCAAGTGACAGTGACCCCCCAATAATTTGTCCCCCACACTTTAAAATCCAACAGTTTCACCAAGTACAAAAATTTCTTGGGTCTTCTGTTAAAATTTGTAAGCTACTGTCTGTAGAAACCATTGATTGTATCTGTCCTGTGAAAGATACTTTCTGTAATACAATGTAAACAAATGCTATAAGCCGTTAACAGACTTTCACTTCATTGTAACAGCAACAGCTCCTAGGAACTGACCACCACGCTCTGTAATTAAAGGGCCGGGAGTCTCAAATGAATTAGCACACACCCCAAAAGTGGTGGAGACAGTAAATTAAAATATGGTTAAGATATGGAATGTATGTTGATGAATGCTTGATGTACTTGAATGGTTAGGGAGGTGCCAGCCTAGAAAGGGAGTATCCATCGGCCGAAGCATGTGTAAAGTGGACCACCAGAACCCCCGGAGGGTAAACTGGGATCCACCCCATCACCTGGAAGGATGAGAAACACAATCTTTGGACAGTTTGGAGCAAAATGTGCCCAGGAATGTGCCATCTGCTGATTGAGTCAGCAACAGCAGAATGAAACAGCTCCCATAGACTAACATAGGAATTAATTCCTATAAGAATGGACTCTCAAAACTGAGGATTTTGAGTCTCTGGTTCTGCTGCCAGCCTCCAGGAGCATCAGGTGCACCTGACACAGACTTGGTTCCATCCTCATGACCAAGATACTTGGCCAGTAACTTGGCATGAGCAACTTCTAGGCTGGTAACTAGAACACCTATATAGAACTTAAATGAATGATTGTGTAAATGTGTGTGTGTGTGTGTGTGTGTGTGTGTGTGTGTGTGTGTGTGTGTGTGTGTGTGTGTGTGTGTGTAGTAAGTAAGTAGTAGTAGTAGTAGTAGTAGTAAGTAAG